CTTCCCAATTTGATATCCAATTTTTCTTTATCTAAATCATTTGACACCCTCATCACCTTACTCTTTTCTATGTTCACTTTCAACTTTCTACCTTTACACACATTCCCAAACTCATCCACTAACCTTTGCAATTTTTGTTTAGAATTTCCCATAAGCACAGTATCATCAGCAAAAAGTAGCTGTGTCAATTCCCATTTTGTATTTGATTCCCCATAATTTAATCCCACCCCTCTCCCGAACACCCTAGCATTTACTTTTTTTACAACCCCATCTATAAATATATTAAACAACCATGGTGACATTACACATCCCTGTCTAAGACCTACTTTTACCGGGAAGTAGTCTCCCTCTCTTCTACACACCCTACGCTGAGCCTCACTATCCTCATAAAAACTCTTTACAGCATTTAATAACTTACCACCTATTCCATATACTTGCAACATCTGCCACATTGCTCCTCTATCCACTCTATCATATGCCTTTTCTAAATCCATAAATGCAATAAAAACTTCCCTACCTTTATCTAAATACTGTTCACATATATGCTTCAATGTAAACACTTGATCTACACATCCCCTACCCACTCTGAAACCTCCTTGCTCATCCGCAATCCTACATTCTGTCTTACCTCTAATTCTTTCAATTATAACCCTACCGTACACTTTTCCTGGTATACTCAGTAAACTTATTCCTCTATAATTTTTACAGTCTCTTTTGTCCCCTTTCCCTCTATATAAAGGGACTATACATGCTCTCTGCCAATCCCTAGGTACCTTCCCCTCTTTCATACATTTATTAAACAAAAGTACCAACCACTCCAACACTATGTCCCCCCCTGCTTTTAACATTTCTGTCATGATCCCATCAGTTCCAGCTGCTTTACCCCCTTTCATTTTACGTAATGCCTCACGTACCTCCCCCACACTTACATTCTGCTCTTCTTCACTCCTAAAAGATGGTATACCTCCCTGACCAGTGCATGAAATTACTGCCTCTGTTTCTTCCTTAACATTTAAAAGTTCCTCAAAATATTCTCGCCATCTACCTAATACCTCCATCTCCCCATCTACTAACTCCCCTACTCTGTTTTTAACTGACAAATCCATACTTTCCCTAGGCTTTCTTAACTTGTTTAACTCACTCCAAAATTTTTTCTTATTTTCATTAAAATTTCTTGACAGTGCCTCTCCCACTCTATCATCTGCTCTCCTTTTGCACTCTCTCACCACTCTCTTTACCTTTCTTTTACTCTCCATATACTCTGCTCTTCTTATAACACTTCTGCTTTGTAAAATCCTCTCATAAGCTACCTTTTTCTCTTTTATCACACCCTTTACTTCATCATTCCACCAATCACTCCTCTTTCCTCCTGCCCCCCACCCTCCTATAACCACAAACTTCTGCCCCACATTCTAATACTGCATTTTTAAAACTGTTCCAACCCTCTTCAACCCCCCCCACTACTCATCTTTGCACTAGCCCACCTTTCTGCCAATAGTCGCTTATATCTCACCCGAACTTCCTCCTCCCTTAGTTTATACACTTTCACCTCCCTCTTACTTGTTGTTGCCACCTTCCTCTTTTCCCATCTACCTCTTACTCTAACTGTAACTACAACTAAATAATGATCCGATATATCAGTTGCCCCTCTATAAACATGTACATCCTGGAGCCTACCCATCAACCTTTTATCCACCAATACATAATCTAATAAACTACTTTCATTACATGCTACATCATACCTTGTATATTTATTTATCCTCTTTTTCATAAAATATGTATTACTTATTACCAAATCTCTTTCTACACATAGCTCAATTAAAGGCTCCCCATTTACATTTACCCCTGGCACCCCAAATTTACCTACTACTCCCTCCATAACATTTTTACCCACTTTAGCATTGAAATCCCCAACCACCATTACTCTCACACTTGATTCAAAACTCCCCACGCATTCACTCAACATTTCCCAAAATCTCTCTCTCTCCTCTACACTTCTCTCTTCACCAGGTGCATACACGCTTATTATAACCCACTTTTCACATCCAATCTTTATTTTACTCCACATAATCCTTGAATTAATACATTTATAGTCCCTCTTTTCCTGCCATACCTTATCCTTCAACATTATTGCTACTCCTTCTTTAGCTCTAACTCTATTTGAAACCCCTGACCTAATCCCATTTATTCCTCTCCACTGAAACTCTCCCACCCCCTTCAGCTTTGTTTCACTTAAAGCCAGGACATCCAGCTTCTTCTCATTCATAACATCCACAATCATCTCTTTCTTATCATCTGCACAACATCCACGCACATTCAGACTTCCCACTTTGACAATTTTCTTCTTCTTATTCTTTTTAGTAATCTTTACAGATTACTTATCCTATGAAAACAAAAGTACATGTTTGGGTGGGCAAGTATGTGTAGGGAAAGGATGAAATTATACATTTGTACAGTAACAGTAATTGGAATAGTGTCTTATCATCTGCATCTAATTTATCATATTTTTAATATTTTCAGTGGTTATGATGTGTTCAACCTCCTCTTGGAGATCATTACAGCTATTTCCCACTCTGTGTCAAGTAATATTTCTTATTGTAATTGCTGCCCCTTGTTTTTATGACAAAATTTTAATCTCTTTGTCTCCTTTTGCCGGTTCAGAATATCTTCCCATACGTCATAACCATACTTCATGACCACAGTTATTAAATATTTGGAGCATTGGCAAGGATGCGTTGATCAATGACGTAACAGTTAAAGGTTTAATTTTTCAGTTTTATGGATTTCCCTCCCTCTAGTTATAATTCCCCTATGTACTATAAGTAGATATTAGTCAACTCATGTGTGATGCATCCTAGGAAAAATAGCTATGCAAATGAGCAGCAACATGGCTCAGTGTGAATAACTTCATTCCTACTGGAAGGATTAGTGTTGGGTAACACCTATCTCGACAGTGTTGTGTATCTAATGATGGTTTTGAAAAATGTGGTTGAATATGACCATAGCAAATGCTTGCTTTCAGGGGCTCTCTCTATTCACTTTTCTCTCTGATTCATTGTAGTACAAAATTTGGTTAGAGAAATTTTTCCCTTATCAGTTGCTTGATGCATTACTTTAGAAACATTGGCATTTCCTAGTAAAACAGTTTGCTTATCCAAGTCTCTGGGCACTTATTGGGGTTTCAGCTTTTTATTGCAGTAGCTTCATGGTTCATATCCCTTGTATCATTAATTTGTTCCACTCTTAGCTCTCAGACTTTTTTAATATTGGTGTTTAGTTTGGGATTGATGATTACTGAAACACAGGGACCTCTTATGATTATTGTTCTTTTTATTTAATTAAAAATCATGATAATCCAGGATTGTCAATGAAGTCATACTCTACAAGAATTTACATACACACTACTGTCAGTGTGTCTCCTAATACATTTTTTTTTATATATGCTTAAGCCAATTTCTCTGCATGTGCTATTTAGGTAAGGTTAACATATTTTTAAACATGTCATCCGTCTCCCACAGAGGTATGGTGACCAAAAAATAAAAGAAGAAATGCTTTCACCATCATTCATTCAATCTCTTTCTTACCAGAAGCATGCTGACATCACAACTCATGAGCCTCTGAGCTGTAACAAAGGCAATGTACTTTTCACCTCCAGGACTCAAGTCTAGCTAACTCCTACAGCATGTCAAATCACAAAAACCACTAACCTCCACTTGGTCCTATCTAACACACTTCTACAAGCCTGTTGGATGCCTATGCCCCGTGCACTCATAACTTCCCTTACCTATTTCCCATTTACCATTCCTATGATGACCACTATGTGTCCTTCCTATCACCTCAGATTCTTACAGCTGTTTTAGTCATCCTGTTTGGTTCATCCTCTAAATGTCCAAATTGCCTCAATAATCCCTCCTCAGCCCTTCGAATTTTACACTTGGTAACTCCCTCATCTTCCTTTAATCTCCATGATAATCACACCACATATCACCTGCACTACCTGCAGCCTTCTCCTCACTGCAACATTTGAAACCCATGCTTCACACCTATATAATAGTGTTGGTATCATTGTCTTCCTGTACATTCCCCTCTTTTTTGCCTCAATGGATAAAGATGCCCCAATTCACCACCCACCTTCCCCTCCTCATTCTCTCTCTCTCACTTCATCTTTCATAGACCCATTTGCTGACAAGGCTATGCTCAAATGTTCAATAAATACTTAGCTAAAATAGTTAAATACAACTTGCAAAGCAACAGTAACATGGCCATATTAAATGAAGTCCTACTATTTATTATGTTGGTATAGTGGTGCCAATTGTTTTATGTGAGTGTGAGGAAAAGGCTTCATGTTGCAGTAAGGAAAGTTTTTTTCTCCATAACTGAATATATTCTCCATGGGGAGGGGCTAGTAGTCCCTTCTCCTGTATACATTAATAAATTTATAAAGGGAAACTTGCATTTTTCTTTTTGGGCCACCCTGCCTCTGTGGGATATGGCCTGTGCATTGAAAGAAAGAATTGAATATATGTCATAATTTTGCTGAACCACATACCCACATTTCCACTTTCAAAAGTTTGAATCCAGGAAACTGGTTATCCCTGAGTGCCTTCATAAATATATGTACAGCATTACCATGCTCACAGACTAGCATGTCATCTCCCAAAATATTTACCTTCACTCACTTCAGTCTAACACTCAAGTTGTCGTATTTTTTCCTTTTGAACACTGGCCATTTCCCGTTGAGGTAGGGTGACCCAACAAAAAAGAAAACACCTTTCACTGTCATTTATTAGTCAATGTCTTGCCAGATGATGATTGAATTATTTATACACTATCTTGTTAAACCTTTCTACACCATCTTAAATTTATTATAGTATATGTCCTAGGCTAATGATTTTTTAAAATCTAATTTTGAATTCCAAAGAGACCAATATTAAAGTACTTTTGCTAAAGTTTTAATATTTCCTAGTTTCTGTATAATGTTTATTTGTTCACATTTTCAGGACTTATGGACAGTGCACTGCAAGCTCATAGATGATCCAATGATGGCAACGTTTACATAACTTGAAGAAAATTCATTGTTCTTAATAGCTTTTGGTTTGATGACTTGAATTCCTTTTACAGTCAATAACTAGTAGTCATTTTGTTAATGTTTATCGGAAAATGTAGTAATGGTATAATATAATCATCTGCACTAGTTTTCTATAATTCAACAACTAAATTTGTGATTTTTAAACACTAATTTCTTTACTTAAAGAGTTGATGCCTTGCAATGTAGTTTTAAGAATATATAGATCTGGAATGTACAGTGTACAGTGCAATACAGTATAAGGAAGTTTAATTCCAGCATCTTTGAAGAGGGTTATTTTTAAAATGCCCTATTTCAATCAATCTGTGAGAGAATGCCTTAGGTATACTGTTATACTGATGCTATTACAGTACTGTATATAATACAGTCTATATTATTATTTCAAATTTAAATGTTAGAGAATGTATTTTTGTATTACATTATAAGTTTATAGTGTCTGTCAAATATATCATAGTTTGATTATTATATTTGCTTCCTTGCTTAGCTTTTTCATGTATTGTTATTCCTGTTAACATACATACATATACACATATACATATACACATATACATATACACATACATATACACATATGCATATACACATATACATATACACATATACATATACACATATACATATACACATATACATATACACATATACATATACACATATACATATACACATATACATATACACATACACATATATACATACATACATACATACATATATATTATATATATATATATATATATATATATATATATATATATATATATATATATATATATATATATATATATATATAATATATATACATATATATATATATATATAATATATATATATATATATATATATATATATATATATATATATATATATATATATATATATATATATATATATATATATATATATTACATACATACATACACAAAATCACCAGAGGGGCTGAATGATAGCTCTAGATCTTTTGTGTTGCAATCAAACACATCAGGAGCTTGCAATGTTACAGAGATAGAGTAGGAAATCCAGGCAGATTCATTCAGGGAAACAACTCATTCTGAAGTTTTCCCTGAGCTAATTTGCCTGGATTTTCTACTCTATTTCTGCAACACTGAAAGTTCCTGATGTGTTGATTGCAACACAAAAGGTCTAGAACTATCGTTCAACTCCTCCTGTGGTAATTTTGCATCGTGTATCACTTGTTTGTGATTATTGCATCATATATATAGTAGAACCCCCATATCCTTGGATTCGGTTTCTGCAGTTTCAGTTATCCGCTGTTTACCATAGCCCAAAAATAACCATTAATTTTGCTTAATAATGACCCCAGAGTGCAAGAGTAGTGATGACGATAGTTCTTCAAAGCCTAAGAGAAGCTGTGAAATGCTAATTCTCGACTTAATATAAGAAAAAATCACGTGCTGTCACTAAGATGTACGGCAAGAGTGAATCTTTCATTCATGGGGTATAATAATGTGTAATGTATTTTATCACTACTAAATGTTGGTAATGTCTTAGTGAGCATTATTTATCAATTAAACTTTGTCATAAGTATGTATGTAAATGAAAAGCGACTTACTATATAGGGTTCGCTACCATCCGCAGTTTCAGGTATCGGCAGTAGGGCTCGGAACGTATCACATGTGGATACAGGGAGAGTACTGTATATGAAGAGTGAATCTAGAATGAGTAAACTTTCTGTAATTTCAGCTGAGTAAGCTTTCTGTACCTTCAGCTGAGTAAATTTTCTGTACCTTTAGCTGAGTAAGCTTTCTGTACCTTCAGCTGAGTAAACTTTCTGTACCTATAGCTGAGTAAGCTTTCTGTATCTTCATCTGATGATAATGTATTCCTTCAGTGTATTTAAATTTCTTCAGTTGGTTTAGTTCCTGTTACTAATGTATTGCCTATGTGATGTGTGTGTGTTAGGTAATCTCATATTGAACTACAGTTTAGATTTAAAATTTATAACCCAGAAATTTGATGTAAATCTTTAGACAGCATTCAAATTTGTATGCATGGATTGGTAAGATTGTTGATATATGTTTTGTCTGTATAGAGTGGCAAAAATATTGCTTTATTTTTTACTTAGTATGAATCAGTTTAATAAGTGACATAATTCCAAAAAATTTAGCATTTCTGGAATTGAAATTAATACTAACAACTATACAGACACCCTAATACACTACTTTCCATTAAGAAAGTTGTATCATACTGGACAAGGGCAAGAATTAATCCAAATTCAATGTAAGTAGAACTTGTGTCCACTCTGCCCAAATGAACATTGATTATTTTGCAATGAAGCTTTTTCTTCCTTATGGTACTTTCAACCACAAATTTTTATTTAAAGCTTAAAATTAAGTAAGCTTGGGTATTTCTTTGTTTTGCATAAAATGTTTGGACTGCAGTTTATTTCACATTGCATTTCTCTGTAGTTTTGCAGAAATGTGAATTGCAACTTTATATATTCTCACGTGAAAATAAGAAAACCCATGAGAAAAAGTTTTGATTTCTGTTGAAGATGATTTGAAATACGTGTATATAAAGTTCTTTGAATGTCATGTTTCCATGTGAGAATTTATTTGTAGTTAGTTGTATTATTGAAAGTTAATGTTTGGTGCAAAATGTTTTGAAAAAAATTGAATAAATTCAGTGGGGTGACTCATTAAGTTGGTTTTAGTTTAAAAATAGTTGTATTAAAAAAAAAGTGATTAACAATCATAATGAAATGGGACCTGTATAATATAGTAATGAAAATTGTTTAATATTATGGTTTTATTTGAAGTCCAAAATCTTAGATAGTAATATCTGTCACTAACTCATGTATTATTGAGCTACATTAATATTATATAAGAGTGCTACAACTAAACCATAGTTGAGTAAGACTCATTAAGCATTATATTTTTAGTTCACACTTGTAGAATAGTACAGTATATGTAGAGTATTTAGAAAACTGAAGTAACATGCTTGTTACTTCCACTTCAAGAGTAGTGTTTTTGTTTTGTATAACTTAGTGTTATGTATATGCAGCTAAAATTGATTCCAACATTATACATATTACATATCTGAGGGGACCTATCCAGTAACCCGATAAAATAATCATCTGGTTATACTCTTTATTTTTTGACGTTACTTTTGGTATTATCAATACAGAATTTTCTTCTCCCTTAAGTGCACTAACTTCAGTAACTGTTAAAATATTGGAGGGAGTATGGAAGAAGTGTTCAGATATTTGGGAGTGGAATTCTTGGTGGATGGCTCTACGTATATAAACAATAGCTTTAATGCCTACAGAGAAGTGTATGCCCTGAAGCAGTGAACTGCTATGCACTCCTCCATGTTGCAGTTCTTGAAGTCTCCTTCACCCACCCTCAGTCGTACTTCAAATGTCCCACCTCTATGCCTCCAATGGGTATATCTGATGACAGCTTCTTTCCTGTGCCTCCATCTTGGGATGTCATCTTGCCTACCAGTGACATGAGGTTTGACCAAGCTCACCTTGTACCATTATCTGTTCACATGAACTAGGTCTTCATCACCATCCTCCACTACCTTTAGTTGTGTACGGTTGTTGGTGAGTACCAATACAGGAGGGCCTGCTTTATGCTGATTCACTAATACGGACATTTCAAATTATAACCAAAAATTTTTTTATATGGCTCATTGATTCACTATTACAGCATCTGCATATCACTCTGTTTACATCATTCATGAACTCTGCATCTCTTGATTATGTCGGGAAACTTTCCAAAATTTCAAGTGTTTCAGAGTTATTGCATATTTTGTATATACTCTGATTACTGTACTTGCGTTCCCGTAGCTAAATAAACTATGTTGGCATGCAGGTACATATTAAAATCTCTAGGAGTGTCTGACTAGTATTGAAGACCCAATAATAATAATCGCTCTGGGGCACTTTATATGTTATACATTACATTATTATTGACATTTCCATTAATCTACATATGATGAATTTCGTATACCTTCACTCACAGCGTCATTCGCAGGTATTAATAAGAGTTTGTCTGACCACCCACCACCTGTTCACTACCCACCACCTGTTCACTCTGTTTATATTCTCCACATCTCTCATTCACTAATTCTTTTTGATTTATGATGGCATCTAAGGGTACTTGTGATAAAAAGAGGAATCATAAGCCTCTTTAACCCTTTGACTGTTTCGGCCGTATATATACGTCTTACGAGCCAGTGTTTCAGACGTATATATACTCAATAATTCTAGCGGCTTCAAATCAAGCAGGAGAAAGCTGGTAGGCCTACATGTGAGAGAATGGGTCTGTGTGGTCAGTGTGCACTGTATAAAAGAAATCCTGCAGCACGCAGTGCATAATGAGAAAAAAAAACTCCGACCGTGTTTTTGGATTAAAACACCAATTTTGAGGTGTATTTTCGTATAGTATTTATAGTTGTATTCTCGTGTCTTGGTCTCATTTTATAGAATTGAAAACATATTACAGAAATAGAGATGATTTTGATTAGTTTCATGATGAAAACGACCTTGAAATTGAGCTCAAAGTAGTGGAAGTGTTCGAGTTTTACCAATGTTCAAGAGTAAGCAAATCACACTACACGTCAACTGGGGAGTCTAATATTCTTTCACTAGTGCACTGATATTATTTATACCATTTTTACAATAATGCAGTAGTCTGCATAACAGTAAATCTATTTTTTGTGAGAAAAAATCAAAATAGAAAGCAAGAGTAATATAAGAGGGGCCTGGAGACATGACTAATGAACAGAGGATATGTTATTTTAGTGCCAAGAATGTCTGCATTGTTTATTCTAGATCCTATTTGAAATTGGCATCTTTTTTAATTTACATGAAATTGGCCAAATTGCCAATTTCTGACCACTTCATTGGGTAGTTGAAATTGGTAAATGGGCAGTTTCTTGTACTCAATTGATAGAAAAAGTGGAGTTCTAAAGAAATGGCTATGAGTTTGGTCGACTGGAACTATGGAATTGGCCGAAAATAGGGCTCAAAGTCAGTGAAATTGCCAATGCATATATATCGCCAAGATTGCTAATTTCACAGGAGTGTAATTCCCCAAGTTTTCGATCAAATTTCATACTTTTGGTGTCATTACCATCTGGAAAAAATTCTCTTATCATTTCATAAGAATTTTTTTTTTTTTTTCCAAAAAATTTTGCAACACCAGGAGATACTTCAGGATTAGGAGTTGCGGCAGTTACAAGGTTAAATGCCAAGTTAGAAATGATTAAACTCAGTGAACGAGGTATGTTGATGGCAGAATGCATAATAATAATAATAATAATAATCACTCTGAGGCACTTTAAATGTCATATATCACATTATTACAGACATTTTTGTTAATCCATCTATGACTTTTTTTTTTTTTTTTCAAAATTATACAAGAAATATAATACATATCATGCGAACAAAATACAGCCTCTCCTCACTTAATGACGGAGTTCCATTCCTAAGAACACGTCGATAAACGAATTTATCGCTAAGCAAGGAGCATACTATAATGGTAATGGGTTTGTTTCAACCATCTTTGATATTGTATTAATGTCACCCTTGCACCATTTATAACATTTTTAGTATATTTTTAAATGTTTATACAGTAATGTACTGTAAATTGTAATAAACAGAATAGAGGAAATAGCTCAAATATACATTATTTAGGTATGCATACTGGTCAGAGATTATTATAATCAAGGGAGCACTAAACCTGTAGGATTATGCACCTGGGGGGGGGGGGGATTGTGGAAGGTACAGGCTTAATTCAGGGAACTGGAGCACAGATCCAATTCCTTAGATCAAAAAATCCCCTCATCAACATGAAGGAACCCTCCTTGAGGGGTACTGGTCAGAGAGCCCATCATAAGTCTGAGTTGTCGGTAAACAGGTACACGTCGCTAAGTGAGGGGAAGCTGTATATAATAGTGTAAACAAGTTATCAGGTATGTATTTATTGGGTAATTCAGTTTACGGCACTAGCCTGGAGCAAATGTTATACCTAACCCACCGTATCAGCAGGGCCCTTCTGTATTATGTTTCCTCAAAATGTATTAGAAATGGGTCTTGACAACAGTATAGGTTTTTAACCCCTTCAGTGGCCATTATGTAGATTTGTTATTGATGCCAAGGTCTCTCACATAGATCTACGTTTTGAACACAACTCCCTCAGATAAGCTGCGAGTAGTAAATTTTGGTCTAAATATGAATGGGCATGTGGTTGAACGTGCACAGTACAAAAAAGAATCCTGCCTCATGCGTGCATGATGGGTACAGCAAAACTTGGATCTTTATTATTATAATCAGAAAGAGCTAAAATACAAGGCTTATACAGTGCAGCAAGGCAGGGAAGGATGTAGGGGTAATGGGTAGGAAGAAGGAAAGAGATGATTATTAGGTTATGAAGTGTTGCAGGGCAGTGGATAGTGCAGGGGTAAAGGGTAGCTAGAGATTAAGGTGAAAAGGGCTGAGAAGAGTGCCAGAGACATCATCATCAGAGTTTGTGTAGTAAATCAGTTGCTGCCAAAAAGGCAATGAGAGAGTCTGGATTAAAGGAGGGTCCGTCAACTTGGATCTTTGCTTTGGTTTAAAATAGCAGTTTTTTTGCAGCATTTTCTAGGAAGAATTTTTATGGTTTTATTGACTGTTTCTTGGTATTATTTGATAGAATGGAAGATATGATTTTGAATAGTTTCAGGACCAGAATTAGCTTTAAATCGAGCTCAAATTAGCAGAAGTGTTCGATATTTGCTGATTTTCCCGAGGATGAGTAAGGCTTCCTTCCCTATCCCCCTCCCCCTGTTTCATGAGGTTTTAATAGGTCTAATTCAATTACTGGGATGCCATAAACCATGACCAACCATCCTTGGTTGTTTCCATTGTGTCGGTATTTTATACCATTTATTTTCATCCTTGGTTGTTGTTATCCAAGAAATGTAGTAAACCTCCAATTTTTTACAATGCTGAATTCAAAATGGAAGAGAAGTACAATGGTACCCAGGGTTTCAGCCATAATTCATTCCAGAAGGCTGTTCAAGTGCCGTTACCAAACGAATTTGTTCCCATAAGGAATAATGTAAATTAGATTAGTCCATTGCAGACCCCGCAAAATACACTTACAAAAGTACTTACAGTAATACACTTGCATAATTGTTCGAGTTGGGAGCTGTACAAAACTCGGGGTACCACTGTATAATATATTTAGGAGTGCCCTGGGGATGTGATCAATGAACACATGAAGTGTTTTAGTGTTTGGAAAGTCTAGTGTTTATTCTTAAACTGGATTTTGTGTGTGTAAAATTGGCCAAATTACTGACTTCTGTGCACTTCATAGGGTAATTCTGATGGATAAATGGGCAGTTTCTTGTTCTGTCATTTTTTATTATAATAATAATTGTTCTCAGTCAACAAGGCCGAAAACACATTCATGAAATAACTAGGAACTTGGTCTAATGGAACACTGGAATTGGCTTAAATTTGCACAGACCAGAAGCAGATTTCAGTTAATACCTCTCCATCAGTTCCCTTACTCTGACTGCCTTCTTGAGTCCCACTTTTAATGCACAAACTTTTTAACTGAAACTGACTAGATGCACCATATATGTAGCCCATAATTTTAACCACATACAAATGGGTAGCTGCTGACAAGACCTGGAATAGTCGAAATATGACTGTTTTACACGAGATAAGTGCAGTGGTTGCCCCTTATTGAATGCACAGCACTCTTTTATTGCTTTTAATCATATACAGTGGTACCTCGGGATAAGAACTTAATTCGTTCCAGAAGGCTGTTAGTGCCGATACTGAATGAATTTGTTCCCACAAGGAATAATGTAAATTAGATTAATCCATTTCAGACCTCCAAAAATACTTACAAAAGCACTTACATAAATACACTTACATAATTGTTCGAGTTTTGAGCTGTTCATATCCCGAGGTACCACTGTATAAAGTTTTTTCCATTGTAACTTAGAAAGTGTAAACCCTATGCGTGTGTGACAGTTATTTGGAAGACAGGTTAAAATATGAGCTTACCCTTCTGTCTTCTATTCACTTAGCACCATAAAAGCCATGCCTGTCCATTTTATCCACTCTTAGGTGAGGTTCTTTCTTACGAGGACCTGAAGCTAGTGAAGAGCTCTTGATTAAAGGAATTGGAGCTACTATCCCCTTCGTCAATTATTATAATCAAAGAAAGTGCTAAACCAACAAGGGTCATACAGCACTGCGGCATTAAACAGCTAGGTGGAGAGGGGATCAGAGGTGAGGGGAGAGGAAGGGATGGAAGGGATGCTAAGGGCCATGTGTCAAAGTTTGTACAGTAAAGCAGTTGCTGACAAAAAGTCAAAGTGATTGGAAGTCAAAGGCAGGGCCATCTTCGAGAAGGGAAGACAAGGTTAGAGTGGTAGGACAGTGGCATCATTGGAGGTAAATCATGTGAGCTCGCTGGTAAACCGGGCAATCTACAAGAAAGTGAAGAACCGAAATAGGGACCCGAGAAACCTCAGAGAGGAATAGGGGTGTCGTTCCACGAGATGCCCATGGGTAAGGCAAGTATGGCCAATGAGAAGCCGGGAAAGTGCAGTCTCCCGAGTATGGCAATGGCGGTGAGAAGATGGTCACAAACCTAAAAGGGGTTTAATAGAGTGCAATTTGTGATTGTGCATGCCCCACCACCATTGTTGCCAACGGCTTCGAAGACTAGCCGAGATGACTGGAAAATAATCTCTGAATGGAATACCTCTATAGAAAACTGGAAGATCATGTACCGCTGACCACGCAGCAGTATCCACTTGTTCACTGCCCTGCAAATGTGTCCAGGGACCCAACAGAAAACAACACCTTTGTTTTTGATAGCCACATGGCGCAACCATAGTTAAATACGAAGGACTAATGGATGAGGGGAATCAAGTTGTTTAATGGCTTATAAAGCACTGAGGGAATCTGAAATGATCACAAACGTCGAAGGAGAGATAGATGTAATACGAAGAAACGCTATAAGAATGGCAAGCGCTTCTTTTTTTATTATAATAATAATAATATAAGAATGGCATACAACTCGGCAGTAAAAATACTAGCCGAGTGTAATAAATGACCTCGGACAACATCATCACGGAACACTGCTGCGAGCCCAACACTGTCAGAAGATTCAGAACCATCTGTATAAACAGCGACTACACGAGCATGTGACCGGAAGTGATCGAAAAAAAGAGTGTGAAGCAGTCGTTGGCAGGAGAGCGTTAGCACACAATAGTAGGGGAGAACAGACATGAACCATCGGAACTTTCCAAGGGGGAAGGGAAAAGGCAGACGCTAAATGAACATACAAGGGAGGCAACTGGAGAGAAGACAAAGAGAAAACGGTTGGAGTAGGTAGGGGAGCCAAACAAACAATGGGCTTCTACTAAAGTCTGAGACCAACCTATACATAGAAGAAACACGAAGGTCATGAGCACGAACAAAGCAACAAAGACAATGAGCATCACAACACTCAGGTAAGGAAGGAATATTCGCCTCTACATAGAGGCTTTCAACAGAGGATGAACGAAAGGCACCAAGGCATAAACATGGACCCAGATGATGATGGGGTTCTACTTGGAAAGAGTTGTAGGAGAAGCTGCAGAATAGATTTAGTTGTCATAATCTAGCTTGGACAAGACTAAGGTGGAATGCAAATGGAGGAGAGTTTGGCGATCTGCTCCCCATGAACGATGAGCAAGAAGTTTGAGGAGATTCAGCTGACCATGGCAAGCTGCCTTCAAAGAGGAAATATGAGGTTTCCATGTCAACTGACGATTGAAGAGAAGGCCAAGAAACTTGACCACATCACATTCTGGAATACATCAGCCATGTAAATACAATGGAATATCTGGGATAAGAGGACATCTAGTGAAGGTAATGAAATGGGTTTTTGTACTAAAAAATTTAAAAGCTTGAGAAGTGGCCCTATGGGAAACTCGGTCAATCGCATCCTAAAGGAAGGTTGCTACCAGGCGACAGTCAACACCTGAGTAAGCTATAGTAAAATCATCCACATAAAGTGACGACCAAATATGTGATGGAAGAACGGAAGGCAGGTCATTTATAGCAAGGAGAATAAGGGATCGAGACCCCATATGAATGGAAAGTATTAGTTTGTTTACTGTCTTGGATATCCACTTTCTTTCCTTTTCTAAATTTTATTCTAGCCAAAAATTTAGTGCAGTTATCCACATTTTAAGTGGTGGGGTTAAATGTGTAAAACTTTTTTTAGTTTGTTTATGCATACAAGATATGACAAAATGGAGTTACAGGCAGTGCAACAACCATAAATATCTAAGACTATCAATTTACAAAACATTCTTCTGTACAAACACTTAAATCCCAAACATGAAGGAATAAACTCCATGAACTAATATTTGTTGGATTATGTTCTTTTCACTCATATTGGAAGAACAACTTATCCCAAAATGTTTGAGAATAAATAAATCAACCCTGGAACCCTCCTGCACTGTGCAACACATTATTTCACGCACGCAACGGCACTCGTATTCAAGCTTAATAAAACTGTGATGACTATGTGATAAAACTGTAATGTACACAACAAAATAATTATTATACATTATTTCTGAAAAGTTTGTAAACTGCTGAAACACCCCTCAAACAAATTCAGAATACTAAAGCTGATTCAGTGTATTTAGGAACAACCAAGTGTTTTATAAATACTGTAATGGTTAAACCCAAACACTATCATTCATTCTACACATTCCATTTGCTCTTCATAATCATACCATTCATATCTTTACTGACACACTGAAGTCATTACTATTATTGGACAACAAATAAAATAAGCCTTTCTTACAGAAAAAAATAGGATTAACATTCTTTGTCATGATTGCACAAGTTTTTTTAAAATTAATTTAGATGGTTAATGAGATCTGTTTACAAATACATAAGCACCATTCCTCTGGTAATTCTATCCTAGCTTGACAAAGATGCTTCTTTGATGTGGGTGAAAGTAGGTCCTCCCTCATATGATAAAGTACATTAACCAAGAGCCTTTATACAAAGGCATTGACATAACAAGGTCATTCCATACAACTGTGGTCACTCTTACAAAAGACTACATTCATTCAAAATCTAATACATTGAAAATGGTGAAAAATACCTTAACCCTACATACGGCAGTGCAGAAATGTCACAGTCAGGATATTACTGTAAAATAAAATATTTGTCTGTACTCTCTCCTTAAGTACTAGCTTTTATTTACAATAGATACTACTTTTTGACTTAATTGAAAAAGACAGTGAATGGAAATAATTCTGATACAAGAGCAAAGCATTTATGTAATACATATAAAACAAATATAATATGATAATATAATTTAAGACATCACATACATATTGCTCTTCTAAAAGCATCTTGATCCATTCCTTAAGTTTTGTACTCATTAGGTTTCTTTTCTGTCACCTCTCATTGACTCAATCTTAGCACAGATCTTCAAAGCTGGTCCAAGTTTCATGGACATAGCTGACATTAAGTGGTCAGCTTTCAACAGCATTAATGCCTGGCCATCTATCTCTTGAAGAGCAAAGTCTTCTGCATACTCTTTACAGCCTGGAAGGTTTTGTATGAAGTCTACAACATCCTTAACCTGGTGAAGAAGAAAAACAAATTACTCAAGAGTAGTATACCTAATTTTCAGATGCTAAAACTTTGCACATCCAGGATTTCAATAACAAGAAACTCATTTACTGTACAGTAATAGTTGTACCTTAAAAAAAAAAACGAATAAAACTGGAATATGGGTGGCCAACACCAATAATGCTGTTTTTAGTCATGTTAAGAGATCACAGTCATCCTACTAATAACTGTTTATCCTTCAAATATGCCATTTTGTTGAATCATCCCTCATACACAACTTTCCTAATATGAATCTTAGTCCTTGCTTTGTAGATGCCTTCCTTTCTAATTACACTGTCAAATACTTCAAACTTCAGAACACTCATGACTTGATCTGATCCTTTCTTCTGCCTAGGTGTTCCCCCCCCCCCCCCCCCACCCTTTCCCTGTATTTTTGGTCCTACCCCTTGTGGGCCATTAGCTCTCCTGCAGTGCTCCTTTTTCTTGTCTTTAGACTTATTCCACTTCTATAACTATCACTCCATTACTACTATTGCCTCTCTTCACTTCCCTTCCCTTTCTGTTTCTTGTGCCACTAAAACTACTCCCCCTACTTTATACTACCACCATTACCTCTGCCACTACTTATCTGCTTCCTTCCTCTCTCTGTTCTGTCCCTGTCCCCCTCGCCTATATATACTGGCTCTCTCACTGTGTCAGTGTGACTTGTAAATGGTCCAAGTTGGACTGAAACATTGTCATAAGCTTCTCCTATATGCAGGTTATTTGTGCATGGTTAGTGTTGGTGGCTGATAAGCAAAGAGGAGGGCCAGTGGTAGCTAGGAAATTAATGAGAAAAGTGGGAGTTTATGTGAAAAAGTTGCACTGCCATGTATGTTGTGTTAAATACTAGTTAGCATTGTGGTTATCCCCTCGAGGGAGGTTCCTTGATCTAAGGAAGTGGACCTGTGTTCCCTTTCCTTGTATCAAACCTTAATGCCTTTCATTCCCGTAAGTGCTATATAACCCCTATATGTTAAGAAATCTTCAATGAATATAGTAATAATATAGTTTTATCAGCTAAAATTATTGCAATATTTTTAAGACAAATTCTAATGAAACAGTAAATGCATAAGAAAGCATGCTTTACATAGTAATGAGCCTATTGAATATGCCATGTAAAGCATATGATAGAATCATTGAAAGAGTTTGGGGTAACAGAGTGTAGGACTAATGAGGAACAAGGAGGATTTAGGAATGCCAGGGGATACACAGACCAAATGTTTACATTGAAGCACATGTATGAACAATACTTGGATATTATTATTATTATAATCAAAAAAGAAGCGCTAAGCCACAAGGACTATACAGCGCTGCAGGGCAGGAAGGAAGCGAGGGCATCAGGTGGCAAAAGGGAGATGGATGAGCAACAGGTTACGGATAACAGCGGGGCAGTGGATGGTGAAAGGGTAAAGGGCAGCAAGAGACTGAACCAGAAAGGGCTGAGGGGAGTGCGAAAAGTATCATCAGAGTTTGTGGAGTAAATCAGTCGTTGTCAAGAAGTCAATGAGAGAGTCAGGATTAAAGGAGGGTCCATCAGCAAGAAGGGAAGGTAAAGAGAGAGTAGGAGAACGAAAAAGACGTTTGGGGGTAAATTCTGCGTGCTCGTTGATAGAGAGGCAGTCTAACGAATGTGGCTAATCGTTTATGGAACTTGACACTGCTCAACAGAGAGGAACAGGGTGCCTCTCCATGAGATACCCATGAGTAAGACGAGTGTGGCCAATGCCAAAGGGCGGGAGAGAGTGGTCTCCCAACTCGGCACTGATGACAAGAAGACGGCCCAGTAACCTATGCACGTTTTAATAGAATGAAGTTTGTTACCGAGCAGAGTTGACCAACGTTGTTGCCAACGGGTGCGAAGGTGGGTAGCTATGCAGCAAAATAGTCCAGAAATGGAACACCTCGATAGGAAATTGGTAGGTCATATACTGCTGACCGCGCAGCAGTGTCTGCCTGTTCATTCCCCTTTTACGTCGACATGACCAGGGACCCAACAAAAAACAATATTTTTTATGTTTGGTAGAGATACGGGTAGCCAAAGTTGGATAACGGAGAACTAGGGGATGAGATGTATCAAATTTTCGTATAGCGTAGAGCACTAAGGGAGTCTGAGACATATACAATGAGACACAGGCATAGATGCGATACGAATAATGCTGCAAGAATGGCATACAGTTCAGCAGTAAAAATGCTAGCTGAAGATAGTAAATGCCCTCGTACGACGCTGCCGGAAACACTGCTGCGAATCCGACGCCGTCTGAAAGACTTAGGGGCCATCTGTGTACACAGCGGTGGCATGAGAAATGAGAGTGGAAGTGATCAAGAAAAAGAGAGCGGGAAGCCACCGTAGGCAGTTGAGCTTTCGAGCAAGGGAGTGAGAAAGAACAGACCCAAAACAGCTGGAACTTCCCAGGGGGGTAGGGAAAAGTGAGATGCTACATGAACAATAAAGGTGGGAACTGAAGGGAAGACAAGAGTGAAAGTAGGCGAAGAGAAAAGGGACGGAGCAAACAGGGGCGGCGAACGAATAAAAAAAATGTCTACTAATATCGGTGACCTTTTCTATAAATGGAAGGTTGTGTAGATCGTGAGAGCGTACATAGTAACGAAGGCAATGGGCATACGGCGATCAGACAAGGATGGAAACATTTGCTTCTGTATAGAGGCTCTCAACAGGGAAGAGCGAAAAAGCAACCAAGGCACAAACGTAAGCCTTGGTGATGGATAGAGTTAAGGCTAGAGAGAGTAGCAGGAGAGGCTGCGGAATAAATCTGGTCACCATAATCGAGTTTCGATTTAAAAAGGGAGGGCTGAATGTAGGCGAAGCAGAGTTCGACGATCAGCTCCCCAGGAAAGATGAGCAAGGGTTTTAAGAAGGTTTAGCCGGCTGTGACAAGTTGCCTTCAGAGAGGTAATGTGAGGTTTCCAGGTTAACCGACGGTCAAAGAGAAGGCCTAGAAACCTGACTGTATCACGTTCGGGATACGGGAGCCATAGAGATACAAAGGATGATTGGAGATAACAGAGCGCCCTAGTGAAAGTAATTTGGTGAGTTTTGGTACTTGAAAATTTAAACCCATGTGTGGTGGCCCAAGTGGAAACCGGTCGACCGCATGCTGGAGAGAAAACTGCAATAAGGTGACAGTCAGCGCCTGCACAAGCAATAGCGAAGTCATCAACATAGAGTGATGACCAAATATTGGGTGGAAGAACAGAGGCCAAATCATTTTAGCAGGAGAAAAAGTGTTGTGCTTAGAACACATCCCTGAGGGACACCTTCAGCTTGGACGAAGTCCGGGGAAAGAACATTATTGACTCGAACACGGAAATGTCTGTCAGTTAAAAAGTTCTTAAGGAAGGATGGTAGATTGCCTCGGAGGCCTAAGGAAGGGGCCCTGGGCCAAAATATTATACCTCCAAGTTGTGTCATATGCCTTCTCAAGGTCAAAAAAATATGGCAATAACTGAGTGATTATTCGCAAAGGCATTACGAACATACGTATCCAAGCGTAGTAAGGGGTCTATGGTAGAACCCCTTAGGGAAAGCCATATTGCTAGCGGAGAGACTGTTGTGAGTCTCTAAATACCACATTAAACGTCGTTTTAAACGAGGCGTTCCATCACTTTGCAAACTGCACTTGTAAGAGCGATGGGGCGATAGTGGGAGGCATCATGTCCTGTAGTACCCGGTTTGCGGAAAGGGAGAACAATGGCAGTTTTTCCCACAGCTGGGGAAGAATCCTTGTGCCCAAATAATATTGAAGAGGTGTAAGAGGACTACAAGGGCTGACCGATGTAAATGTTGTAACTTTACGAATATGAATGCCCATCAGGCCCAGCTGCCGATGATCGGCAAGCGAGAGCGTTGCCTCCAGTTCTTGAAGTGTAAAAGGCAATTATATGTTCTTCTCCGAGAGAAAAAAGTCCAAGGGTACTAACTCTCTGGCAGATTTTGAGGAAAGAAACGGGGGGCATAGATGGGCCCTCGGGAAATACGGACCAGATGTGTGCCAAGGTTCAATGGCAACGTCGAGAGGGTTTGCTATATCAACACCAGTGACCCGTAGAAACAGGAGCCGGGTCAGGAGAGAAATTTACCACTCAATTTCCTCACTTTTTTCCAGACTGCACTCATAGAAGAAGCAGAGGTGATGGTGGAAACATAGTCCGCCAAAAAGTGCGTTTAGCTTCACACGGATGACACGGCGAGCGATCGCACGCTTCTGCTTAAAATCAACAGTCTCTCAGGGGTTCTATTGTACCGGTACCTGCCCCATGCAGCACGTTTCAAACGTACTGCACGAGCACAAGCAGGAGAAAACCAAGGCACGCACTTCTGAGAATGCCTGCCTGAGGTTTGGGGTATAGAATGAGAAGCTGCGGTTATAAACTGATGTCGAGAAGATGTGTGAGCTCATCAATGGAGGATGAAGAAGGAACCTCACTAAAAGCAGTGAGGTGTGAGTAAAGATCCCAATTTGCCCGATAAAATTTGCCAGCGAGGGCTACGGGAAGGTGGTGAATAGGAAGGAAAGTAAGAAGATCGGAAAATGATCGCTGTCATGAAGTCTGGTAGAACAGACCAGGTGAAGTCTAGTGCAGTGGAGGAAGAGCAGACTGATAGATCGATGCAAGAGAGAGTAGAGTACGAGGATCAAAATGGGTGGGAGTACCCGTATTTAAAACATGGAGGGGGGGAGGGCAAGAAAAGCCTCCAACTGAATCCCAAACGTGAGTCACAATGAAAACCCCCCCAGAGGAAATGGTGGGCATTAAAATCACCAAGTAACAGAAGTGGTGGTGGTAAGGATGAAACAAGAAAGGAAAAGTCTGGATAAGAAAATGCTCGAGAAGGAGAGAGATATAAAGAACATATTGTAAACCACTTATTCAAGTGGATACGGGCTGCAGTGTAATGCAGCGAGGTATGGACAAATAGTTGACAGTACGGAATATCATTGCGTAGAA